ACCCGTCTCTAGCAGATATATATATATATAATGTATAAATAAATATATAGATATGTGTGTATTTGAGTTTTGTTCCACATTTTTTCTTCTACTCTATTGTGATTCCTTTCAGAGCTGCCAGGCACCATCTAGTTTGTCTAGTCTCAGGGTCACAAAGGTTGGGGCTCATGCGGTAAAACGATATTTTTCAGCTTCTCCACCAACAACTGAAAAGATTATCACCTCCATGTGGGGGGGTGGGGAATGCAATAAATAATTACAGCTCTGGAGTACAGTGAGTTCAGCAGTTAATTTGGTAGTATTAGCCTCTATTTTATGATGTGCTATAAATCCTAACTTCTATATATATTAATTAAGCAGCATGAGGGTGGGGTATATCTGAGTCACAGCCTTGCAAGAAGGTATGGCTCAAGTCATACATTTGTTTGAGCCACATCTTGCCTCTTACAATATCTCAAAGGAGAGGGGCTTCACCACTAACAAGAAAGAAGAACCAGAGCTTGAATAATGGTCTGGGTTTCTCCAACATTTATATATATACATATCTCATTGGTAACATTTATCATACAGTGCTGCAATTGTCTGTTTAGCTCATCTTCCCCATCAGGCTGTGATATCCATATGGGTTTGGAACCATGTCCCTAGCAGCAAGCAAACAGCAAAGGCAGAATATCATCCATAAATTAGGGCTTCAGGACTCCTTGCAATTTTAAAAATGACTGAAGATCCCATACTAATTTCTGATAACTAAAATATTAGAAATTAAAACAAATTTTAATGTTTTGCTATTAAGTGTTTTACATTATAAATATAAATGACATTTTTATGAAAAATAATTCTACTTTCTAAGGAAAAGTGAGAATTCTGCAAATCTCTTTATTAATGTTTGGCCTAATAGCAGATAGTAGAATTCTTCTATCTGCATCATGAATCTGTTGTGATATGTTGCTATGACTTAAAATCAAAACAGAGACACACAGTGGAAAGAGGAGGAATATTTTAATACCTTTTTAAGATAATGTGAGCATTCTTCTCTGATACTACACCGAAACTTGGCAAATGGCAGATTTTGTAAAGATGCAACATGAAATATGATATTACATCAGAATCTATTGGTCTGTCTTACACTTTGAATGGATCTTTTTCCCATGCATGATTTTGTAACATGAAATATTTATAATTTGGAAACTACTAGCTCATTGCAGTATGAAGATCTTTCTGCTGTTGATACATTTCATTTAGACATTATCAAAATAATCACCTTTTTAATACCAGCACTGAATTTCTCAGTTTTAATTTGGGGAAGCTGTCAAATTCACGGTGGCAGTATACAAGCTGTCCAAACTTCTAAATTATCATTTGTAACAACCCAGAGGATTATCAGAAAGATGTTTTAT